TTTGATTTGAGTCGATGTTTGGAGTTTATTTTCTTTGAGTATTTTCCATTAAATAATTGTTTGATGCTATGAGATATTTTTAGTTCCGTTGTGAGATTTTGATAAATATTCATGAGGTTGCATGTTGTGCTTTGAGTATCATCCTAAGTTATGAAATTTCTCTTTTATATTAAGAGTCAGGATTTGGGGTGTTACATTTGTGGATTGATAATTTTATTTGGTTGGGTGTTATTTTTAAGTAGTTTTCTAATTTTGTTGAGGGGTTACATGTTGAAACTTGTTGTGTGCAAGTTGTTTCGCGTGGGTCATATAAATACATATCTTTGGTGAAAAACATAATTATAACTTATTTATACCACTACATATAATTATGAGTTGATTTAGTTTCGATTGGCATGACAACGTCGATTAGGGCTCGTTGATGATGATGATGCCTCTATTGATGACACTCAACTTTAGGGAAGTCTTTCCAATCGTCAAAGGCCCATTGTTCATTAACTTTATATTTATACCATTGTCTGAGGCACTTGAGGGGGATCTAAGAATTGTTTATGCATGCCAAACCGCAGATTCATAAGGTCGCTATGGTGCATCTCCACAACGGTGAACCTTATGATCGTTGTTGTTACAATCCAAACGACTACATTTTCTTTGTTGATTTCATGATGATTTTCTATACCTAAATAGAGCATTTGATGAGGATCAACAATGGGTCGACATGATAATAAGCCTTGTGAAATCAATGAATTTTGTCTTCAAAGACATTAGAAACCTACCTATAATCGCGTTGGTGAGGGAAACCTATTTTAGGTTGGGATCATTGTTTGCAATTAGAGGCGGAACAAGAAGTTCGATGTTACAATCAGGGAATTGTTTAGTGAAAGCTGCATGAAAGTGATGAAGGAGAGAAATATCAAAGCTAGCATACATGTGGTTATATGCTTTGACCATCATAGATACACTTTAAGTGTAGAAAAGATAATGGACCATAATGAGGGGATGCCAAAGGGATACTATCAGGTTGAACTACATCAAGGTTGGTACGATTGCGTAAAGTTTCAAGTCTTCCATTTGCATTGCTCACATGTCATTGCAACATGTTCAAGTGTTCACTAGGACGCTTCCAAGCATCAATCAGCCATTTAAAAGTCGTAAATGTATTTAGTGTATACAACAATAGCTTCTTAGTGGTAGAAAAATGGGAATATTGACCTACATATCAAAGGGATGTTATTTGACACAATAAAAATATGAGAAAGGAAGAAAAATGGTCGTCCAACAACACACGTATAAGAACTGAGATGGATACGTCGGACAAATTGGTAAGATTGTGTGGTATATGTCGTCAATCCGGAGACACATGTAAACGTTGTCTCAATGTTGGAACAAGCTCTGCATGATAATTTATTATGTTGATAAAATTGTAGTAACCTTGAAATTTAATATAGATAACGAGTTTTGGTTACAACAAAACTTACACAAACACCCATAAAACAACAACAACACATAAACATAAACACGCCTAAAGTAACAACACAAACAACAAATAAAAAGACTTAACACCATAACATATCTAAGAGACTATAACAATCAAATGAATATCATCTGATGCAGACATCATATCCCTAACATCAATATCATTTTTCACTAGCACCCACATATGTTGGGTATCATCATTGTCATCCGCTATAGAGATGTATGAAACAAGTCTCTCAATACTTCTAATTCTTTCACATCATTAATATCTTCATCTAACCAAAAAATCAAGTTCCTCTCAAGTTGCTTGAAACTCAAGATGTTCCAAAAACACACCTTCAATGGAGACTTGGTTCTCGAAAAAAAATATGCATATTTCTTTTATTACTTATGTTAAAACAAATGAATAAAGATTAAGGAAAAAAACAAGAATAGGTGTGAGAAAAAATGGTAGAAGGCACACCTTATTTATACTAAAAAAATATCCAATACATAGGAGACAAATAAATTGACGATTGCTCCTACGACCTATACATAATCGCCAATTCAATTGGCTAAAAATGATGCAATCGTCAATTTAATTGACTATACCTCTTTTTTTTTAATAAAATTGCCAATTTAATTGATATATGTTTTGCGTTATAGTTTTTTTTATTTAAAACATGATGCTTCAAAAATTAATGGAAAAAATAAAAATTTGAGAAATTTTGTTGAAAAACTTGATTATTTAAAAAAAATTATGTATCATTTATGATTTTTTAACATAAAAAATCCCGTCTTTGAAATATTTTAAAATAATTTATTTATTTTATTTATTGATAATAAATAATAATTTGTAGGCAAAAATATATACTCACTTATGTTTTTTTTTTTGCTATAAACAGATTCCATTTATTTATTTTTATACTATAACAATCAGGTCCTTTAAATTTTGTTTATTGTATAAATTACGATCCTGCTTTAACAAAACTGGTATAGAATTACAACACAAAATAAATATCAAAAAAAGAATTATCCATTATCAACAAGTGTTACATGAAGATATCAAAAATCATATCTTACGACACTAATATAAAAATTAACAATGATTATCACTTCTGAACCAAAATAAACATTAACACTACAAAAAATTAAAATTAATAACATTATGATATAAATTAACATCTTTAATATATTTAACATATTATTTATCATCTACTTAAATGACATATTAACGTCGTTAATGTCGCAAACTTTTTTTTAGTACGAAGTTTGTATAAAAAGTTAACGGTAAATATATTAATTAACATAAAAAAAAAACTAACTTGTAACAAAAAAAAATATATAAATAAATGTGTTGTTATAATAAAATAACTTTTAAACAACTTGCCTATATATTTTTTTTCTTTCTAATTTGTAACTAAGAGCATCTTTAGTAAGAGTAAACTAAATGGGTAAACTAAGATACTTTTTGTGGGCCTAAAGTGATTTGTAGGATTTAAAAAATTTATAGTTGATATGAGTAGTTTTTACTTTAATGGTGGTTGTCTATAAGAAACCAAAATTTGACCCCACATTTTATATTTTTTATTCAAGTTACCATTAACTTAATTATTTTAATTAAAATACATATAATTTTTTAAATAAAATTTACCTTAAAAACTTAAAAATAATATTAAATATATTTTATTATAAAATTAAAAATGATACAAAATTCACAACAATAATACATAAAAAAAAATTACATTTTCATAGGAATATAATTATAATAAGGATTTGATTGGTTGGGATCAATTTAATAAATAAATAAGATTGGAAATTGAAAGGAAAAAATTTAAAAGTAAAACTGTGTGTAAAAAAAATTAAAATTTCTATAGAATTAATAAAAGGTAAAAAATGATAATATGACCGTTACTATTTTCAAATAGCATACCCTTACTTTAATGTTGTTGGAATATTTTATTAATATTAAATAATATTATAATAGGTTTCACATAGTTAACGTTAATTATATAGATGATGGAAACTAAATTTTAGTTCACTTGGATGCCATGTCAGCTCTCCTGTAATGCAAATTTCTTATTACTAACGTAAGCTATAAAGAATTTTGGTTTAACAACCCTGCGTTAAAGTTGCTCTAATCAAAACTTTTATAAAAATATTAACTTGAAAGTAACTATTAAATTTAAGGATAAATAAAAAACTTTAATTTATTAGAGTTTAATTTTCAATTTTAATTCTCAAAGTAGCTTCCATCTCGAACCAACAACACACTGCTTATTTTCCGCTTCCATTTCGAACCAACGCCACCACCATCTTCTCTTCCGTAAGCTCTTCAATCATGCTTCACTTTTTCTTACTTTTAATCATTATTTTTGTTTAATAAAGATTATTATTATCATTATCCTCTGCAATTTATCTTTTTTTCTTGCATTTTTCATGAATTTGATAATTTTCTACCAAAATGTATCTTCAGTTATTCATTATATCCTTTAGGAGCATAGGTATTGTTAATTATTCTTAAAAAAAAACTAAAATAATTTTTTTTAACAAAACCTTTTTGATGGGGTTTTGGGTTTTGATTTTACAAAATTAGGGTTTAGGGTTTAAAATTTTGCCATTTTGTGTTTATGTTTTTTTCTTCTTCTTTTTTTTAGCTATTGTGCTTGGCTTGGATTTTGATCTCGTTGGAGATTTTCTTGCAAAGACTCAAACTTTCATTGTTTTGTTGGTTAGTGTACACATCATATTGAAAGTGTGCCGGTGAGGATCCGGTGTTCCAGGTATGACATGTGTTGTTGTCGAACATCAACACGTCTGACACACGGTCCTCCCTCAACACCGACACACTTGATTACTTTGATTACTTTCATTTTAAAAAAATGATTATGGGTGCTTTGTGTTGCGGTAGGTGTGTGTGTGTAAGAGGCAATTGAGTGGTGTTTTAGAGTCCACAAATATAGATCATGCTCATATAAAAGTCATTATAGTAGAGTTATTGACAAGAAAGAATTGAAGCTATTTATCATAGACATTTCAAATTAGTTTTGCATTATATTAGAAAAACTCTTGCAAAAAGAGCCGTTAGTAGCACCGAATATGATATCATCAATATATTTGTACGATTAAAATGTCATACTCAGATTTTTTAATGAGGTGCAAAATTACTTATGGTGCTAAAGATTTTTAATAACACATTCCTAAATCAAAATGACATTTAGAAAAATTAGTGCTAGTTAGTAAACTAAGCTGATCCTTTTTTCCTTTCTGAAAACTCCAGCCGCTGCCACTTTGCCCTTTTAAATCAGAAACAGATTGGAATCGCAGTGATTTCAACTTCCTGAAAAACACAGCCGGAGTTCCTCCTCGTTGCTCTAAACAGTGAGAAAGTTGTATTATTGAAAGATTATTTCCTTATTGTCTGATTTTGTGTACATATTTTGAGAATTACTAAAGTTTTTTTTAATCATTGCGAACTTATTTGTGCATGTCGTGTTTCTTATTATTTGAAGGTCCAAGTTTGGAAGTTGAATCAATTTGGGAGGATGAATCGAAAATTTGGAGGTGGAAAGAAACCAACTGGGACTCCTTCATTGCCCTGGTCATGTGTGGTTGTCATCTGTTCTCTTCTTGCAGGTGCTTCTGTTGTACACAATATCTATAAACCTAACCTCGTAAGCTTTTCTTGTTAACTCTTTCAGTTTCATGCTCTTCTCCTTAGTACCTTGTTCGTTTCAGTTTTATGAATTAAATATCTGCAATGTGTGTGCTTGTGTTTTATTTTTTGGAGTTGGAATTTGAAGGCTTCATATTTGTCACAAATGAAGCAAGACACATATACCGGATACGACACTAACACATAGCACTGATACTTTTAATTAAAATAAAAAGCATGTCCAGTGTCCGACATGTGTCAGTGTTCGCGTTTTGTCTGACATGCATCGGATCTAAAGTCTCATGTTCTCAAATTACTTTCAATTTCTCAAATGATTATAAGGAATGTAACTATTTGCGTGGCTGTTGTGTCGAACACAGAAACGTGTCGGACACCATTCGATCTAAAGTCTTGGTAATACATAGGTTATAAAATGCAGGGAGGGTGGTTATGTACTTGATTGAAACATATATCATTTCATTTCAAAATTCAGATCATGAAATAAGTTATGTTACTAATCTAATGCATAGTTGAAATCATAGCTATTAATATTTTTTAGAGGATATTGTCCTTCACTTTACTTGTAAGTAGGATATATTTTATTGTAACATGATTTCAATTTGCCTAATTTCCTACAAATGCTACATTACTAGTATTTAGAACCCGTGCAATTCATGTGTGAGATTCATGCGCGGTACCATCCTATAAAAATATACTTAACCAAGCTTAATGAAGTCAACATTATATAAGAATTAACAGAAGAGGAGTAAATTGGAAAAAATTTAAAAAGGGTGAGAATTTTGCATCTAAACGTGATGAATAATGAGTTATCACTTCAAAATTCTAAGAGTGTATTTTTATATCCATGCATAAATATTCTTTGTAAGTTATTGTGTTAATAACTATAGAAAATAGTGAAATATTCTCTTACTGTTTTTATACAGGCATAACATCAGAATGAGCTTTCGCCTAAGTTGTAGTAAATGAAACAAAAAAGGTTGGTAAAAATAGAAAACATGACAGATTTTTAGAATGCTTGTATACCTCCTATATTGAAATTAAAAACAAAAACGATAAAAAAGATGAAAAGAATATACAAATGAATTGAAACAGTAGCTAATGTTTATTGAATCCGAGGTACGCTTCAACAACATTTCGACACTAAAAGAGTATAAGAAGTGAAGATTGATCAATTATATCTGTTGGCTTTGTTCCTTTATCATAGGCTGGAAAATTTAATAAATGAAAAGACTTTCAATACAAAAAGTAGCGAAATATTACTGTAGAACGAGAGTAGCTAGTGTGATTGCAGAATATGGATATTGTGTCAGATCCATCAAATCTTACAATCATGCTATCCTTCTCTGCCATCAATATGGTTAATGAGTTGATTTGAAATAAGAAGAATAAGGTTATCATTATAATTTTGCTTAGTTCAGGATATGGTTGTTAAGGTATCTGTCACCATAATTTTATATCTTTGAGAAGATATATAGCCTTAATCAACTTTGTTAGTGGTATTAGAGCATTTTAATAGGTATATTTGAGGGTGGGAAAAGTGAGTGCCATTTGTCAGAATGAATCTACTATAATGATTTTTATATGAGCATGCTCTATATTTGTCGACTTCGTGTTCCATTATCAAAGGTTGAAAAGAAAAACACAGATAAACAAAAGCCTATTGATGTTAGATTAAAGGTCTGAAATCATCAACAACTGTCACATTTTTCATCACTCATTACTATAAATAACACTCGATGAACTGCAAAACGGCAATGGATTTCCATAAGCATAAGCATTGTTGTACTTATTCAGAAAATCCACAACTGCCTTTTCAATTAGTTGAAATATATGTTATATATGTTATGGTTTAAAGTTGCAAATTTTTTATCAGTGATTTTATTTCTTCTGCTGCAGCTGTTTATGTTTGCTGTTAAAACTGTTTTTTTAAGTTTGGTTTTTGCCAAAACTACAGAACTTTTCTTGTTGTAATGTTATTTAAATTATTCCTGCAAATAGAAAAAGTAGAAATGTAGGATCAGTTAAATGTAAAAAATAACTTCATTATTCATCAGCACTAACTCCATAGAGAAGAAAGGTAATGTTTGCCTATAAAAATTAGAAACATGCCACAAGGGAATGACCCTAGCCTTGATATTCCTACTATCCTTGGCAGGTGAAATTTCTGAAATGGGATCAAACTTGGTAACCAAATGAAATTTCAAATTGAATTTTAATCATTTGCACAATTATATTGTATAGACTGAAGTGAGAAACCATTGATGAAGTAATTAACTTGCACGATTTTATAAAATACAAACACTTCGATGAGTAGTAATGGATAAAACAAAATCCTGTTTTGCTGTCATAGTCATATTTATCACAAACAGTTACTCTGCAGAATAGGCTGTACTCCTACTTGAGAAGATTATTAACTCATGGTTTGTTTTTTCTGTAGACATTGCCCCCAATTGATGGAGTTGATGGAACCAAGAAGAAATTAGATGCGAAAGAATGATAACTTCTGGTTATCAATTTTTTCTTATATCTTGAAGATGAGCATGTTTTGAGTCCTAGAATTTATTGTATCTGTTATTAAACAGGCAGAGGATTGTTCTTCCCCAACAGTTACTTTTTTTATATTAGATTTAGATATTAGGGCTATATTTAGATAAGCAATTTAATTAAACACTTTTAGTATAAATATTTTTGTATAAGCTATTGTTGTATCTAGGGGTGTTCGCTGTGCGGTTTGGGTGGTTTTGACGTTGATAGGTTCAATTTAGTATCTAAAAGTAGAAACAACAAAAAAACAAGAGAAATAGCAGAAATGAACACTAACCAGTATGAAAAATATGAACTTTATTGAAAAGGATTAGAGATCAAACGAGATCTAATCACTTAAAGAAGAACAGAATTTTGCAGAAAAGTAAGAAAAAGATAAAGAGGCTCTTAGAGAGGCCTAGTCTCTTTCAAATTGATCTTATCCATTAAATTTTGCATAGCCTCATTTGTGTCAGCGACCAATCATTTATGGGACAATCTCTAAATTCTCTCTCCACTCACCAAAGGTCAGCTGTTCCACCCATGTGCTATGACAGCTAGTAGAAAGTGTACTATTCTGTTACTCTCTCTCTCTCTCTCTCTCTCTCTCTCTCTCTCTCTCTCTCTCTCTCTCTCTCTCTCTCTCTCTTTCCTTTTCTTATGTTTTCTTTGATAGACTTTTTCATATTTACCAACTCTCCCCCCTTTAAGACTCTCCTTGTCCTCAAGGAGAAAAGTAGGAAATTCTGCCCTCATTTTCTCAATCAACTCCCAGGAATTTTCGAAGTTGGGTAGAATTTTTCATTTTACCAACACCTCTACCCCACCTTGCTCTCCCTTCTTGTATTGTACTGCCTTCTCAGGTGTTGGTTCTAAGTACTGTTCCTCATTCATGCATGCTGGCAGAGGTTGAGGTGCCACAGCAGGTGATACAACTTTCTTTAACAAGGATGCATGAAACACTGAGTGTACTCTAGAGTCCTCAGGAAGTTTCAACTTGTAAGCCACTGCACCTATCTTTTAGATCACTTTAAAATGGCCATAATACCTAGGACTGAGTTTCTGGTTCATCCTTTTGGCCAACTTCTTCATCTTGTAAGGCTGGATCTTCAAGAAAACTTGATCTCCCATCTCATATTCCACCTCCCTTCTATGCTTATTGGCCTGATTTCTCATTACATCCTGAGCCTTAAGCAATTGTTCCTTCAGTTCCTTCAACACTAAATTCCTCTCAGCAGTTAACCTATTCACCTCATCTACTGCTGATGGAGGATTATCTCCTCTGACTAACACAGGGGGAGCTCTCCCATAAAGAGCTTCAAAATGTGTAGTCCTTAGTGAGGCATGATAATTTGTGTTGTACCAATGCTATGCCCAAGCCATCCACTTGGGCCACTGTCTTGGTTTCAGGCTTGTTACACATCTTAAATAGGTCTCCAAACATCTATTCACCACTTCAGTTTGCCCATCAGATTGAGGATGGTAAGCACTGCTGTATTTCAACTTGGTACCTGCCTGTTTGAATAATTCCGATCAGAACTGGCTTATGAAGACTTTGTCTCTGTCAGATACTATAGAACTAGGGAATCCATGCAACCTCACCACTTCTTGAATAAAAAGATCAACAACTTCTTTAGCTGTGTAAGGGTGACTAAGAGGTAGAAAGTGGGCATATTTGGTTAACCTATCCACCACTACCAGGACATTATCCACTCTATGGGCCTCTGGGTAACCCTCCAATAAAATCCATAGAAATGTCACTCCAGGTCTGGATTGGAATGGGCAAGGGTTGGAGTAATCCCCCAGGCCTCAAAGTTTCATATTTGTTTCTCTGGAACACTTCACAAGATTGCACATAGTCTTGAATCTTCTTCCTCATTCCTTCCCAGTAAACCACACTTGCAATTCTCTTATAAGTTCTCAACTGGCCAGAATGTCCTCCTAGAGTTGTATCATGAAACTCATTAAGTATCCAAGCAATCCCTGGGGATTGTTTTGGAATCACTATTCTCCCTTCATGGTACAATCTCCCTCCTTTCATGTAGAACCCTTCATGGCTAGCAGAATCTATCAACAGGGCTTGCACTATAGCCTTTAACTTACCATCCTGTTGTATTTCCTCTTCTAAACCCTCCCAAGCTTCACATTGCCTGGTAGTGAGGTGATTATACATCATTTGTCTAGATAAGGAATATGCAACATTGTTCTCCCTTCCTGGCTTATATTTAACTTCAAAATCAAATCCCAACAACTTAGATAAATATTTTTGTTGCTCCTCCCCCATAACCTTCTGCTCAGTGAGGAATTTTAGGCTCTTCTGGTCAGTATGCACCTTAAAATGTTTGCCTAATAAATAGGGCCTCCATTTGTGTGTAGCCATAACAATAGCCATTAACTCCCTCTCATAGACTGGTTTTTTCTGATCCTTGTCAGATAAAGTCTGACTCATATAGGATATAGGTCTCCCTCCTTGCATTAAGACAACCCCTATTCCCTTCCCTGAAGCATCAGTTTCCACAATAAACTCTTTTTCAAAGTCTGGCATAGCTAGAACTGGGACAGTGGTCATGGTAACTTTGAGTTCTTCAAAAGCTGCTTGAGCTTCATTATTCCACACAAAGTTATCCTTCTTGAGTAACTGAGTAAGAGGCCAAGCAATCCTCCCGCAATTCCTTACAAACTTTCTATAATACCCTGTTAAGCCCAAGAATCCTCTTAACCCTTTTACATTCTGAGGGACAAGCCATTTCAGCATGTCTTCTACCTTCTTAGGATCAGCTGATACACCATTGCCTGATATGATATGTCCCAAGTATTCAATCTCCTCCTTTCCAAAAGAGCATTTCTTTTTGTTTGCAAACAACTTCTGGTCAACAAGGACTTGCAGAACCCACTCCAAATGCTTCAAGTGTTCTTCTCTACTCCTGTTATACACCAAGATGTCATCAAAGAAAACCAAACAAAATTTCCTTGGGAAGGGTCTCAATACTTCATTCATCAAGGCTTGAAATGTTGAAGGAGCATTAGTTAACCCAAAAGGAATCACTAAATATTCATAGTGACCTTCATGGGTTCTAAATGTTGTCTTGGCTATGTCTCTCTCATTCATCCTAATTTGATGAGAGCCTGATTTTAAGTCTAGTTTGGAAAAAATCACAGCTCCCCCTAATTCATCCAACAATTCCTCAATGATAGGTATAAGGAACTTGTTGGGTATAATCACCTTGTTTAGGGCCCTATAATCAGTGCAAAATCTCCATCCACCATCTTTTTTTTTACTAAAAGAACAGGGCTGGAGAAAGGACTGATGTTATGCCTGATAATTCCTGCTTGGAGCATTTCCTTCACTATCTTCTCAATCTCATTCTTCTGATAAAAAGGGTACCTGTAAGGCCTCAAATTAGGAATAGCTGCTTCAGGTTTGAGGGTAATAGCATGGTCATGCTCCCTTATAGGAGGAAGTCCAGCTGGTAGATTAAACACCTCCTTGAAAGAACTCAACAACTCTTCCCAACCATCCTCCTCCATTGGATGGTTCACCGCCATTGCCCCTCTTGAATGAACAAAAAATCCCACCCCTTCATCACTAATGGCCTTGACCATGGCTTTCCATGATGCTTGTCTGGTACATAAAGCTGGATCTCCTTTGATACTAAACTTCCTTCTATATTTTTCCCACTTCAAACTGAGTTCTCCAAAGTTGACTACAATATTCTCTAAACTTGCCAACCAATCCATCCCTAGCACCATGTCTGTCCCTTCCAACTTCATCAAGAAGAAATGTTGACTAAATTCCATTTCTTTCATAAGGAATTTCAACCCTTCACAAATCCCTTGGTTGGTAACTCTTTCTCCATTTCCCACTTCTATTACATAGGTTGGAGTTTCAACTACCTCAGCCACAATATTTGGGTCAATAAAGTTGCTAGTAACTCCAGAATCAATCAAAGTTAGCAACTCTGTCCCCTCCACAGTCACCCATACTTTAAAAGATTTGTTGGAATTAAATCCCTTTTTACTTTTCATGGACAGTTGCAAAGTCTTAAATTCCTCCCCTTCCTTCTCCCACTCTTCTGTTTGCATTCCAATCCCCTTTATTTCCTCCTCCTCACTACTGTTTTCACATAATTTCAAACTCATGTGTTTGAATTTGCAAAGGCGCTCTCTATTCCACTTTTCCCCACATTTGAAACAAAGTCCTTTCTTACTCCTTTCTTCTAATTCTGCTAGATCCAATCTTTTGCCCTTATACTTCTCATTTCCTCCACCCTTTTCCCCTTCACCCTCCTTCCTATGCCCTCCTATATCTCCAGGATCTTTGATCCTTAGATTTCCTCCCCTTTCTCTCCAAGAACTACCATTCTTTTGCACCACTTCATTCTTTTCATCAATGAGCAAAGCTCTATCCATCAACTCAGCCAAATCTTGGCTCTCATGGAGCTTCAATTCAGCTTGAATCTCATCTTTCAAACCATTCAGAAAAATTGAGTCAAGCATGACTCTTTCTTCCCTCCTTAATGGTTCTACCATCATCTCAAATTTCTCCCTATATTCCACCACTGACCCCTTTTGTTTCAAACTCAGCAAGGGTCCTAAAGGATTGTGTAAGAGCCCAGGTTGGAATCTCCTCATCATAGCTGTTTTGAACTCCTCCCACATCCTCAAGGGTGCTTGTTCCTCCCACCATTGATACCAATTTAGAGCTCTTTCCTCCATTGCCAGCACTACCGCATCCAACTTGTCTTGAATCCTTACTCCATTTAAGTGGAAGTACCTTTCGATGCGTACTAGCCACCTGTATGCGCCGTCCCCTTTGAAAACTGGAATCTCCACTCTTCGATGACCTCCAACAAATCGAGAATGACCTTCACCACCATGACGACGATGGTGTGGTCGTGATTCTCTTGAGATAGTGATACGTTCACTCCATTCATCCCTTTCCTCTTCCTCGGCCCCACGAATACGGTGTCTCCGGTGTCTTACATGATTACAAACAGGGTTCTCTTGAATCAGATGACGAATCTCCTCCACCATGACCTGCGGCCGTGACTGTTGGTCCATTACCAGCTGTCGGATCTGGTCCATCGTGACCTCAAAATTGCTCATCCTTTGTTCTATGGCTTCTACTCTGTTTTCCATGGTGCTTCTTGTAACAACCATCCATTTGCGCAGGCGGAACAAAGGCTCTAAATACCATATTGATAGGTTCAATTTAGTATCTAAAAGTAGAAACAACAGAAAAACAAGAGAAATAGAAGAAATAAACACTAATCAGTATGAAAAATATGAACTTTATTGAAAATGATTAAAGATCAAACGGGATCTAATCACTTAAAGAAGAACAAAATTTTGCAGAAAAGTAAGAAAAAGATAAAGAGGCTCTTTGAGCACCTCTAGCGTTGGACTTTTATTGGATTCTTAGGATAGTTCGCCAGCTGGCACATGTATTTACATTATTCTTCATTCCATGCTGGCGGACGGTGTTTCCTTAAGCAACGTTCCAAAACTTTTTCAAAGTATTAAAATATAATAAACATAAAAACTAGTCGTTTCAACGACTACTTCTTTATTTATTTTTTATTTTTTTAACTTATTTTTTATTATAAATATAATTTTGGTTTCCAAAAATTTACCAACACATATTTCTCTCACTTTTATTTTCTCTTCAATTTGAAATTTCTCTCTCTCTCAATTTCATCATTTTATTCCTATACTTTTAATTTTTTTCAACAATTTTTTCTCATTAGCATTTTTTTTTACAAAATATTTAACTCAAAATTTCATCTTTTTACTACAAATTACAATTGTTTAGGCCAAATGGATCATAATCATTTTCATTATCAACAAGGTTTTTTCAATTACATGCAAAATTCTCAAAATCCTAATCCTCAAAATTCTCAAATTCCATTGGTGCCAACAAACCCCGGCATATTTCTTCCGTCACCAAACAATCCAAATATGTATCTTATACCTCAAATGAATTCTAATAGTATGGAATTCTCTACTCAAGTTCCACCATTTTCTACTCAAGTCCCGCCATTTTCTACTTAAGTTAGTACTGAAAAAGAAGAAAGGGTTGTCGTTAAAAAAAGATCTCGAGAGCAATTTACAAGGGAAGAGGATATACTACTTATCCAATCATGGCTCAATGTTTCAAAGGATCCAATTGTGGGAGTTGATCAAAAGGCTGAGAGTTTTTGGTTAAGAATTGCTGCTAGTTATAACCAATATCGTGGACAATTGCGGGAAAAGTTAGGGGGACAGTTAAAATGTCGATGGCATAGAATAAATGGCATGGTTCAAAAATTTGTTGGGTGTTACAAAATAGCTCTTAAAGGAAAGAAAAGTGGGACATCCGAGACCGATGTCATGACAGATGCACATGCTATTTTTGCTCAGGATCAAGGTACAACATTCAATCTTGAGTATGCATGGCGATTGTTAAAAGATGAAGTTAAATGGCGCATCGCCGAAGAATCGATTGGAAGTTCTGCAAAAATAACAAAGACTTATGCTAGTAGGGCATCATCGGAGAACCCAAATACAACTTCAAGTTATGAGTTTAACTCATCATCACCAATAGAGCGTCCAATGGGACAAGAAGTAGCAAAAAGGAAGGGTAAGGCATCAGAAATTCCAAATGCAACGCAAGATGCAAAGAATAAAAGAGCAATAACAATGGACAGACTTGCGCAAGCTAAGGAGGACGAGCTAGAATTAAGGGTAGTGTAAATGATGATGAAAAACACTTCTACTATGAATGATAGTCAACGAGATATTCATGAAAAATATTGTAATAAGATGAAAAAAAAATATGAAATGTAGTTAGTATCACTTATGTAAAATGGTCATTAACACCACTTTAATTTATCAACACCTATGTAAAATGGTCATTAGTACCACTTTAATTTATCAACACATATGTAAAATGGTCATTAGTACCACTTTAATTTATCAACACCTATGTAAAATGGTCATTAGCCGTTATTCAAACTACCACTTTAATTCAAACTAGCCGTTATTCAAACTAGCCATTATATATACTACCACTTATGTCATTGTTCTCCCATTCTCATCTTATTCTTCTCATTTTTCTCTTATTCTTTACTCACTAAATGGATTTAGATAATTCAGATACTTACGATCAAGAATTTTGGAAGTTGGTTGAAGAAGAATTTATGGACGACAGCGATGAAGAACAACAACTTCAAAATGAACGTCGATCTGGAAGTTCCTCTAGGCCAAAGAGAAGAATAACGGTAGATCGAGGTCGTGAAGAAGGGCACAATCGATTATTCAATGACTACTTCTCGAAAAACCCAATATACACAGATGTTCAATTCCGAAGAAGGTTCAGAATGCATAGTCATGTATTTACTCGAATTGTAGATGCCCTTGGAAATCATGATGAATATTTCCAAATGAGGGTCGATGCAACAGGTAAAATGGGTCTTTCACCATTGCAGAAATGTACATCTGCTATTCGTATGTTGGCGTATGAGTATCCTGCTGACCTTGTAGACGAATATGTTCGAATCGGTGAAAGCACTTCAATTGAGTGCTTAGAAAGATTTGTTAAGGGTGTCAATGTTGTATTTGGCGCTGAGTATTTGAGAAAGCCTAACAACACTGATGTTGAACACCTTTTACAAATGGGAGAGTCACGTGGCTTTCCAGGTATGTTGGGTTCCATCGATTGTATGCATTGGGTATGGAAAAATTGTCCTATTGCATGGAAAGGACAATTTTGTCGAGGTGATCATGGTAAGCCCACAATCATGCTTGAAGTAGTGGCATCACAAGACTTATGGATTTGGCATGCTTTTTTTGGTATTGCAGGTTCAAACAATGACATTAATGTGCTAAACCAATCCAACGTGTTTAACGATATTTTGGAAGGACGTGCTCCAAATGTGCAATATACAATCAATGGGACACCATATAACATGGGGTATTATTTAGCAGATGGTATATATCCCGAGTGGGCTACATTTGTCAAGACTATTTCAATGCCACAGGGAGAAAAGAAAAAATTATTTGCTCAACATCAAGAATCGGCTAGAAAAGATGTGGAGCGAGCATTTGGAGTGCTTCAATCTCGATTTGCAATTATACGTGGTCCAGTGCGTGCCTGGCACATGGACACTCTCAAGCATACCATATATGCCTGCATCATATTGCACAACATGATTGTGGAAGACGAACGACATACATATGAAGGTAATTTTGATTACTTTTATGATAATGTGGATATCAATAACTCAACAACTGAAACATTTAGCGGTCCTCATCCGAATCTTGCAACAAGACTACAAAGAAGAGCAAGTATTCAAGAAAAACAAGTTCATCGTAAACTTCAAGGAGATCTAGTCGAACATATTTGGGAACGTTTTGGACATGAAGATGATGAAATTTAAGTTTGATTAATTATGTGATGTTATTTATTTTTATTGTTTTTAATTATATATCATGTATTTTAGATTAATTTTAATTATCATTTTAAATTATAAGTTTAATTTTTATTTTATTTTATTTTATTTTATATCAAATTTAATTTAAAACACTAAAATTAAAATTATTATTTTAACTGATATAAAATTTAATATGAATAAAATATTAATATATAAAGTAAAGTTGTGGGACCCAATATGAGTTCTTCAGAGTTGCACAATTGGAGTGAAAAATTAGTTAAGTTGCTTCAAGCTGACGTGGCTTAATATGTCCCACAAAGAACCCAAAAATGGGTTCACGATTGGAGATGCTCTTAGAGAGTCCTAGTTTCTCCTAAATAGATCTTATCCACTAAATTCTGCATAGCCTCATTTGTGTCAGCCACCAATCATTTATGGGACAATCCCTAAATTCTCTCTCCACTCACCAAAGGTCAACTGTGCCACCCATGTGCTATGACAGCTAGCAGAAAGTGTACTATTCTGTTACTCTCTCTCTCTCTTATGTTTTCTTTGATAGACTTTTCCATATCTACCAGACGTTAAAAATCATCCGAATCAAGAAGAAACTAGATGCGAAAGGAACTGCAAGAGGAAAAAACATGCGGTTTGGTTTGGTTGGTTATTAGAAAAACACCGAGCCGAACCAAACCAAATCAATACGGTTTGGGTTGGTTTGATTGGTTCAGTTTTTTACAACATTTTTATTGAGTCATACATACACATATATAAAAATTTGTGTTTAGTCATTCATACATTATCAGATAATGACAAAACTAATCATATTTAAATAAAAAATCTCATTCAATATACAAAAATCAGTTTAAACAAAAGTGGGAAAAAATTGTAGCATAAAATAATATCAAAAATATTATAATAAAATAGAAAAAATATAGGAGAAGGGAAGTTGAAAAAGAAAGAACATAAGAGATGTTAGATTAGAGAAGAAATGTGCGATAAAAACGTAATTAGAAGAGAAAATAGTAACAAAAAATGAGAAGATAAAAAATAAAGAACAAGTGAGATGAGAGATTAATGTAGAAGAGGTGAGACTTACATGATAAAAAAGATGAGAATAATGCGCAATATTATTAGGAGAGGTTTGAGAAGATTGAAACTGAAAAATTAAATGTTAGTAAGAGAAAATATTTCTTAATTGTAAGATTAAGACATAATGGGTTTGAGTTTTGGGTTAGATGTGGGATAAATAAAGTTTGGATTATAACATAATACGGTTTGATTTGGTTTAGTTCGGTTTTTAAAATACAAACTGCAAATCGAACCAAACCGTGCGGTTTTATTAAAAGATGATCTGAACAAATTCAAATCAAATGCGGTTTTTTGCGGTTTCGGTTTGATTTTGAACACCCCTAGTTGTATCCAAAGATAAAAGTCAAATTATTTTTATATAATATATCCTGACGAGCCTATAGAAATAAGCCGAACATTTTATTGATATGATATGAATTGTTTTTATAAGTGTTTTCATAAGCTATAATGTACAGACATCTCTAGTAGCAGACCACAATAGTAGTAGGCATGTTGCGGCATCTGACACGTGTCGGTGTCAAACACTTGTATGACATTCATATGACACGTGTTCGAAAAGTAAAAAAAAATGTCAGAAAAATCAGATAAATATCCATTAAACATAGTTTTTTTTCTTTGTTTTGACATTCTTCGAATCAATGGTTGACATTCGAATGACACTCATAATATATATGTCAAACAATATAGATAAATGTTACAAATAATTTTTTTCCCTTTGTAAAACACACTTTTTTTGTAATTTTGATAAATTTTATACAAATTTAAAATTGTTAAACGTGTATTTAAGCAATGTTATTAATAAATAATTAATGACATTAATTTTGATTAAAATATTTTTAATTTTTTTTAATAATAAATGAATAAATAAAGTTAGAATACTTTTTTATAACAATGTTGATGTTTTATGTTTTAATATTATCAGTATCGAAGTGTCTGTTTTTTATATTTTAGTGTTAATGTCGGAGTCGGTATTTCATGGTTCTCAAGGGCTCTCGAATAGTTTTATAAGTAGTTATGCAAATAGATTATGATATATTTACTTTTTAGATTTTGGTTTGTAAGTTTGAACAAGACAAGTTGAGAAAGGGGAAAGGATTATGGATATGGTATATCAAAATGGTTGCCTCAAACTCACTTCATTTGTGATAATGACCATAGAAGGTGTGTTTGGGTAATTTCTAAATTGCACTTACCATGCTTATTTTTTAATTCAGTGCATCACTGTTTTAGCATCTATATCTGTGAAAATTAATATTATTTTTTTTATGTTCAGATAGTAAATTCCTTTAAATGTCTATCCTTAACCTGATAGCATATATCTGTGAAAATTAATATATATTTTTTTAATGCACGGTTCTTTAATCATTGAGCAAGTTTCTTGTGTTCTTAACCTGATAGTACTTTCTTGTATTTCTTTATTGAATATAAGTAGAAAGGTTTTTTTTTTTTCTTCTGTTTGATAATATAAAATACCATGTTGCACCATAGAACAGAGAATAAGGTACTTTATTGTGGAATTTGCTAATATCAACCACATATAATGAACCATGATAAATTACTCAATTTGAACTGCTAGATTGAGAGTCCACTAGATCGTATCATGAACCTTCTTGATAAAAAAAATTTCCTCTTTAGAGTGTATTGGGAATAATTTATCTACAACTTATATAATCTTTAAGGTTATATAAAGAGTTTGTTCTTTCCGTCCTTTTTCATATCATTAAAAATTTGAAAATGCTTTTAATGTGTTCGAAGATTCTTCAAACACATTTTTTTGACTGGATTTTCAAACGCATTTAAATCACACTAAAATGTATTTATTTTAAAATCTATTTTATTTTGCTTAAAAAAATATGTTTTGATATGCATCTTCAGTCCAATTTTTAACAATTTGTATTAAAATATAGATAAAAAAGGATGGTTCAATAATTTGTATCAAAATATATGTATAAAATATGCGTTCATCTTCAGAATATCTGAAGAGAAAAGAGCAATTTGTTATATAATATGGACAGCGGGAGAAAAAAAAGCAATTCATTGTATAAATACATTTAGGGTGTATAAGCAATTAAGTTAAGTTTTTCCTTTTTGTTTTTTTGGATGAAATAATTTGTGGCCGGCTTACAAAATAATTTATGAAATAATTTTAAATTGTTTTTTGGACAATGTTTTAAAAATAACAACTTGTGAGAATGACATTTAGAGTGTGAAACCATTTGATTGAGTTTATAAAAATAGTTAACACCTTATTTTATTAATAATTTAGTGTTTATTCATATAAAAATACAACTAACACCTTATTTTATTAATAATTTAGCTCATGAGGTGTCAGTTTCATTATAATAAAGTATATATTCTATTTAGTATTAGAAAAAAATATATATACATTAACATCATCAACATGCTAAATCAGTTTGATGTTTTTAAATTAATTATATAATTGAATAATAAATTTCTATTAAATGATAGTAAATTTTTTTACTTTTAATCTTTTAAAATTATAACAATAGTTAAATTGCGTCTAATCTAACAAAATCGATTTTTGTTGGTTAAAATAAAATTTGCGAATTTCATTAAGACAAACATACTTTGCACCATTTATTTATAATTATTAAATTTGTTTTCAATTTTTTAAAAATTATTTAAAGATATTTTCAGACCGATGATGTATCTTTCTTCCTTCCTTCCAAACATTTGCTGTCAGTCTTACATAAAAAGATTTGACAGAGCATATTCAGTTAGAGGATTCAATAAATTTATAGTGCTAGACAACTATTTGTGGTTGGCCAGTTACAAAAATGAGACCCCCCAAATATGTAGAAATATTGATTTGTAAAGTGTAAACACTAACTTGAAAGTTGATCTAAAAAAAGTTGCATATCCTATTGACATGGTTTACCTAGAAATAGAATCTTTCATGCTTGCCACTCCATAATTATAGGAAACCACTTCTTTTCTCTTTTTTGTGGCCCATTTCTATTTTATGTGTTAGAGAGTCAAAATAGCCTATTCCATCTATTGACCTAATCAAATTTTACTCTTTCCCAAATTCACATTTCAATTAATATTAACATTCTTGCATACTAAATATTAAAGAAAAGAAATTAAAGAAAAGAAAGCTAAAAAAAGTAAACCAAAATGAACACATTTCCAATTTAAACACACATATAAAAACTTAAAAAAGCAAAAACAATAGTTAGTGAAAAATAGAAAAAAGTGTGATTAAAAAAGGAAAAATAATAATAGAAATAATCTAAATAAGGGCAAAACACCATGGAAAGCGTTCCTTAAATCTAAGATTCAAAATCGAAATCCAACGGTTCACATTGCATCTAGTTCTTTTTATATTGAATTCCAATTTTCCATTTACATTTGGTCTTTTGGTGTTTCTCTGTGTGCTCTCCCTCTCTATCTCTCTCCCTCTCTATCTTTCTCCCTCTCTATCTCTCTCTTCCTCTCACCTTGCCTCTGTGCATTCTCTGTCGTTTTTTGCCTTCCATCACCCCCGGCATTTTCCTTTTCAAGGTTTGTTTCTGTTCTTGATCCGTTTTTTTGTTGGTTGGATCTGTTTTTTACGTTTCTTTTTGGTTTTTTTAGTATTGAATTTTGATAATTTGATTGAGGGTATTGGTTTTATTTAGTTAGATTTTAAATGGGTTGTTGTTGGATTTTGAAATACGAAATTGTGTATGATCAAATTTGAATTTTTGACATTTTTTGTTTTGGATAAAGATAGAAATCTGATATATGAGAATTGGATGTGAATTGACCGATCTAGGTGTTTTGTTTTATTTGAAAGAGAGAATTTTCATTGGTTTGAATGATTTTAGTAATCACCGATTTTGATTGGTTAATGGTGATGGATTTGGATCTATCATTGTTAAGCTTGGTCCTATCAAAAGTTGTTTTCAGAGGTGTGAGGTGAAAGAATCTGAATTGTTGTTTTTTGATGTTGATAGAATAAAATTAATAGTTTACTTTATTTGATATGATGCAATTAAATAGAGAATTTTGAGATGAAAAAGTGGAATTTGGTGAATCTCGCTTTCAACAGAGAAAGAAAAGAGAAAGAAGAGATTCCGAAAAGGAAATGTGATTATGCTTTTCAATTTTCATGTGGACCTTTGTTATTATGCACTTCCACCCTCATAACTATGTATTATTATGTATGTCCCCTGCGAAAAGATCTAAGAGTGTAGAATTGATTTTAACATGTTTGATTGTGTTGCAATATAATTGATTTTTTGTGCAGATAGTAGAAGATGGCAGACGCTGAGGATATTCAACCTCTTGTTTGTGACAATGGAACTGGAATGGTTAAGGTACATGATAGTTTTGGTATTAAGTTTGCTTGAAGTATAACATAATGCAATACTCTTGGTTATTTTATTGGAGTTTGTTATATTTGTACTACCGAAGGCTAATTGAATTTGAGAAAATGGAGTGTAATAATATCTTTTCAGGCTGGATTTGCTGGAGATGATGCACCTCGTGCTGTGTTTCCCAGCATTGTAGGTCGTCCTCGTCACACTGGCGTGATGGTTGGCATGGGCCAAAAAGATGCATATGTTGGTGATGAGGCACAGTCCAAGAGGGGTATTTTGACTCTCAAATACCCCATTGAACATGGAATTGTTAGCAATTGGGATGACATGGAAAAGATTTGGCATCACACCTTCTATAACGAGCTTCGTGTTGCCCCTGAAGAACACCCCGTTCTCTTAACTGAGGCTCCTCTTAACCCTAAGGCTAATCGTGAGAAGATGACCCAAATCATGTTTGAGACTTTTAATACCCCTGCCATGTATGTAGCTATTCAGGCTGTTCTTTCACTGTACGCTAGTGGTCGTACCACCGGTGAGTCATTTTTTAATTGTTCGATTACTGGCTATACCGTGTGTATGTGCCATTTTGAAGTTTACATACTTACCTTCTCTATGCAGGTATTGTGTTGGATTCTGGTGATGGTGTCAGCCACACTGTCCCTATCTACGAGGGTTACGCCCTTCCACATGCTATCCTTCGTCTTGATCTGGCTGGTCGCGACCTGACTGATTTCTTGATGAAGATTTTGACTGAGCGTGGTTATTCTTTTACCACCTCAGCAGAGCGTGAGATTGTCCGTGATGTGAAAGAAAAGCTGTCATACATTGCCCTTGACTATGAGCAAGAGCTGGAAACAGCGAGGACCAGCTCATCCGTGGAGAAGAGCTACGAGTTGCCTGACGGACAGGTAATCACTATTGGAGATGAGCGTTTCAGATGTCCAGAGGTGCTGTACCAACCATCCATGATAGGAATGGAAGCAGCAGGAATTCACGAGACCACATACAACTCCATCATGAAGTGCGATGTCGATATCAGGAAAGACTTGTACGGTAACATTGTCCTTTCAGGAGGAACAACCATGTTCCCAGGCATTGCTGATAGAATGAGCAAAGAAATTTCTGCTTTGGCCCCAAGTAGCATGAAGATCAAGGTCGTTGCACCACCTGAGAGAAAATACAGTGTCTGGATTGGTGGTTCTATTTTGGCATCCCTTAGCACCTTCCAGCAGGTTTGTTTCGTTCGATACTTCCTTGTTTCTTTCGATATACATATACTGTTATCGGTAATGTTTTGTTTTGAATGCAGATGTGGATTGCAAAGGCAGAATATGATGAATCTGGTCCATCAATTGTGCACAGAAAGTGCTTCTAAGTCACTACTACTACTACTACTTCTGTTTTGAGAGAAAGAGGTTTTTTTTATCAAAGGGAAAGACTAGTGTTATGAATCCTCCGGAAACATTGCATCTTGTAGCCCTTTAAATTCATTATTATTTGCTTTTGTTATCATTTGTTCATGTACTTATTCACAATGTTGGAGTGATTATTTGCTGAAAGCGAGTTGTTTTTTTTAAATGATCTACTTCATTTCAGTAATATTTTTATGAGTTTTATTTATTTATTTATTTTTGTCACTAGTTCATTCTGCGAATGAATTAACTGGATTATCATGCAACTATGATTGCAAACATGTATTTTGTAGTTGCTTGTTTATGAAATGGAACGAATGTTAAAAACATATTAATAGCAGCTTCTGTTAGATATGCACAAAATAAGATTGTTGTTCTAAGAATACATAATTAGTAGCTATGTCTTACCCATTAATATGAAATTATTATTCATTGCAAGGGAGAATTACTTCGGAGATGCTCTTTAGAAATCTCCTTGAATGATTTCAGAACAACATCAATTGTCCTAACATCAAATTAAAATTGCAGTAAAATCAAGTTCTCTATGAAACACCATTCTCCCAAGACAAATATTTCAAGACAAATATAACTTCATATGTATTGTGTTGCATTTTTGTAAAACTGCAAGAAAAAGTCATACATTAATTAAAAAATGCAACATTATACATAATATTTATCCGAAAATAAAAAAACATTCAAACATAAACTATTGGGCATGTTGAACCTCAGCCTTCTCGTCCTCCGATTGTATTGTATGGTATTTCGTAACGATATTTCGTAACTTGTTAACCATGTTCATACTGGAGGCTGCTTGTTGGATGTGAATATGGAAGTAAAAAAACATTTTAAAGTAGTTGAATTGACCCTTGTAAAATATTCAACCTTTTTTTTTCAAAAATTAATATTAGAGGTTTTTTAAAAGTGCGCACAAAAGGTTTGAAGCGAAAATATAAAAATTATACTTATTGAAACTTGATCACGGTAACGTTCAATCAATCTAAAAAAACCAATTGATGGTTCTATGATGATACAAAAGTATTCAATTGATTTAGTTGTATATTTCACAAGATGTGTTTATACAACAATTCAATATCAATTAATTCTAACCTCAATTGTTTTTCAGACTCACCAATTTAACACAATTAGGCACTAATTCTAACAAACCTAAGCTTACATAATATATCACTACCAATTGAATAAATGATAAACTACTTTAGAATTGAAATACCTAAGCATGCAAATCCTACGAAAATTAAATGTAAGAGAAATGAAGATAGATGACCCTGAGATTTATAAAGTTTTAGCGTTCGTCCTCGTTTTGCCTACGTACACTCTTCAATGGTTTCTCATTTCAACCTGCATTATTTCTTTTTATTTGACAAATATTTGCAGGAGTTCATACAATCTCCAATTCACAATAATGTTGAGAAAAATAAAATCTCATATATGAATTTTTACTTGTATACAACGTTATGTCAAACTGATCTTCTGCATAATTTTTACTCGATTAGTGCTTCTTGAATCTTCAAATATCACTAACCTGCTCAAAGCCTTCATTTATGTCAATCAACACATTGATCCTACCGATTCTTAAGCGATGAATTGTCCGAAGATTTGAGAAGAACTATGTCTTATCCGTAGCCTTTCATACAATCACTACGAAGGCAATTCAGAGAGGAAAATCTTATTCATTTCATTGGAAGTTGTCAGCACCAATGACAAAAACCACAATCTTGCAAGCTACATAAAAATATTTACCTAATCTCCAAGAACGATTAGTTTCAAGACAACGTCTCCTTCGATCAAATTACAAACCTCTCATGATAAAGATTTGAAATAAAAAAGAAGTTGAAGAGGAAAGAAAATCAATTGTAATAGTTTTTTAACTTTCAAAAGTGAGAGGGAGTTGGTTTCACATAAAATCACTGTTGATTATGAGATTCACACATGAAAATTAATGACAAAGTGACTTTATATGTGCTTGAGATTAAGCATAAAAATTGTTGGAAAAAGTTAGATTCAAATCAGTGCATTTCATGATTTGAGTCGAGTGAGCAAGTAGTGTGAAACAAGGTCTCATAGTAAAATCCTATGATTTGATTGTGATTCGAGTCACACTGATTCATGATTCGAATCATGTGTTAAGTTTGATTCGAATCAGACATGGCATTTGGAAAATGACAAGTTTGTGATTTGAGTCATGTACAAACTGTGATTTGAATCACAGAGTAGCATGATTCGAATCAGGTGTAATTTGTGATTTGAATCACATACACATAAAGTTTCTTGTTTTCCTCTGTTTTGCTTTATTCGAATAATGGATTGTGAGTGATTCGAATCACACACAAGAAATCTAAATTTTTCAAAAATTTCAAATTAGTTTGAGAGATTTGAGTTCCCATATGACTTGAATTGATAAAACATATGATTCTTGTTTCACTAACTTAGGCAATTTACTTTAACTATCATGATCAAAACTCAAATTTAACAATTGGTTTATGCATGCTAAAAAAATGAATTATTTCAAAACTTGATTCAGAAAGGATGTGAGATTATGAATGAGGCTCAATAATCGAAAGTAAATGAGAATGAAAGCAATAAGACAAGCAACTAATCACTGTATTGGCAGGACCGACCATTTAAAAAAAAAATATTTATATAGTTTTAATTAATTGATCTTTTAAAAAAACTTTTTAAGTTATTTTCAATTCTAACATCTTTTAAGAGTGTATGATAATATAAACATTTAAGATATGTGTTGTATAATTGGTTAATTTAAAAATTAAGATCGTCTTATATTTTTGAAGGTCTTGTGTAGGTTAAACATGATTTAACTACGAAAAATAAATTGTGGCCCTATTTTGTTATTGATCAAACATAATCAATATTTTTTAGGTCCTTTTTAGCCACGATTTAATCGTGAAAACTTTTGAACTCTGTCGTGCAATCCGTCCTGTACGCCCTTAAAGACGGTCCTATTAAAATTCATACTAATAAATAATAAATATTATGTTCTTTTACATAAATGAATACTTGAAATTTAATTTTTTTTTTTAAAACTTTGATAATGTTTTAATTATATTTTTAAAAATGATTAGTAGAGTGTTTAGATGTGTTATCAATTAAAAATAAAATATTAAACAAAATTGATTAGAATAATTTAATAATTTTAGATTTTTAAAATTTTAAAATTATAATTCTTTAATCTAAAGTAAAAATATTTTTATTATATTAAAATTTTAATTTTAATTTTTGCCTCAGGCCTCAAAATGTATTGGGTCGGCCCTGCATATTGGGATACTCCCCTGAATGTATTAGTGAGATGCAACTATATTCTCCCCCTTTATTATGTTTGACAAGCTTTCACTTGAAATTGAGCCGACTTTGAGCAAAAAGAAAAAATGTTTGTGCTACTCCTGAAACATTGCACGCAAACCGCAACATAAAACACATAAAACAATTCTAGATTTGCATTACAATTTCTCCCACTCTGACAACATCAAAAATAGATAGATTGAAATGCATCTAAAAACCAAATAACCAACCACAAACAAATAGTTCCAAATGAGCACAAGAGCTAAACATCTAAGAAAAATATACAACAAAAAAGATTGGATGCAAAACATGAAGATAGGCATGTTACATGCAACGAAATGCAAATAGACATGCAACACCAATATTTAATAGGAAAAAAATAAAGTGATAAAACTTGTATTTAAAGGAATGCATTAACATAAATAATGCATTAACAAGTATACAAATGCTCGAACGCACATAATTAGAAACACACATTTAAAAAGAATTAAATACAAATAAGAAGAATCACAGACATATACTCAATGATGAATGAGTGAGTAAAATAAGGAAGATAATAAGTAAACTAATGCATAACTCTAGAGTGAACACATATAATGATATAAAATCAGATACTAGACTTATAAAGACATATCAATGTAGTCAGTAAGAGCTATGATCTGCTACAAAATAGTGTTAGTGAAAACAAAAAATATAGAAAATGAAACTAAACAAAATCCCCATTCTATTTAAAGCACGAAGAGTCTAAGACTCTCAAATAAATCTTGTGAAAGGGAGTCAATGTCAATTGTTTTGTAAAATTTTCACCAAATTGAGTTTTAGTGTCAACGTATTCAAACACAACATCCCATTTTCCCACATGATCTCTAAGGAAATAGTGTCGGATCTCGATGTGTTTGGTCTGTGAATGAAGTATCGAATTATTAGTGAGACTTATTGCAATAATACTATCACACTTAATCGGAACACAACCAAGTTTTAAATTGTAAATTAGTAATTGTTGCTTTAGCCATAAGACTTATGCACAACAACTACCAACGACTATATATTCAGCATCGGCGGTAGAAAGAGCAACATTATGCTGCTTCTTATTGTGACAATAAACTAAATAGCTTTTAAATAAGTGACAGGTATCACTAGTGTTTTTCCTATCCAAATTGGAATCATAAAAACATATTAAGCTATAAGCACTATCTTTAGGACACCAAAGACCGTGATGGGAAGCTCCGTTAAAATACCTCAAAATAGGTTTTACGGTCTTAATGTGGGATTCATTAGATGATGTTTGATATCTAGCACACGTGCACATAGCAAACATGATACCTGGCCTACTCGCAGTTAAACAGAGTAAGGACGTTTGAGGTTACTCCTATTTTATCTTTGTCAATAAGCACATTTTAGACCATGGGTGTTGAGATACTCTTTGAATTTTTTTATATAAAATTTCTTAAGAAGCTCTAAGCACTATTTTGTTCGACTTATGAAAGTGCCTTGTTTGGCTTGCTTGATTTGCAATCCCAAGAAATTGTGAGGGCAAATTCTCATATACCATACATACTTGGGTTTCGATGATGTCAAAACGCAATCTATGGAAGAATTAGTTTTTCGGCTCTACCACCACAAGGCAAACACGCATCATACCTCTCAA